AGTTTTCGAAAGTCGTGCTTTAAAGCAGAGTTAAGCTTCTGAGAATGCTCAAACGAAGAGAAGTATTTTAGTATTTTTAATTAAAATCCTCAAGTATTTTTCCATGTTACTGATTTTTAGGTTCATTCATGGACATTACTTCTACAAACACAAGTAACAAGAGTGATGCTAACATGGAACCAAGTGACTTCCAAGGAGCTTCTACAAATGATACTATTAAACGTTTGGAGTCAAAATTGGCACAACAAATGAAAAATACAGCTAAGCAGCCGGTAAGCCAACATGTGCAGTTTTGAACCATAAAGATGGACAAAAGTGCCGTAACATCTTTCAAAAATACAAAATTGGAGCCAGTTAGTTATAAGAAAAGAACATGAAAAGTTATGAAGAGTAGTGAATGATTTCAGAAAGGTAAGCTGGAAGTCTCTAACATCATCTCAAATGAAATAAAAACCCCAGTTAATTTTAAAGGAATTCTTTAGGTTAAATATATGTATGTATATATAAAATATATGTTTGAAAATTACTGCCTTAATTTAGAATGAAAGTATTAGTATAATATGAAAAGATTAAAGTTATGTGAATTTTGAAAGTACTACGTTTTGTTTTCAAGTAGGATGAAAAAATACAAAGATTCTCTTGTGACAATATCGGCCTAATTATACTCTACTTTCATCTGCATAAAGTTAGACTTTTCAGAGCATTTCAGATATTTGGTTCCTGCAACTAGTAGCTATATTATTACCATTTCTTGAATTATAAATGTTAAAACTTGTCACTTTTAACCAGCACATTATTAGAAATAGATTTTAATGTACATACTGGGCATATATCATGGAGGGGCTTCTGCAGGTTTGGGGTTTTTTTCTTTTTAAAAATTTAACTTTTGAAACAGGGTGATGCTGGCCGCTTGAGTTTACCCCCATCTCGTGGGAGCAGTGTGGAGAGCTTGTCAGATGTTCGTGCACGACCACAGTCATCCCTTGTTTCAGGAGAAGCCAAAAGGATGAGTGCTGACATGTCTGAAATAGAAGCAAGAATAGCTTCCATCACAGGTAAAATTAAAGGATGCTTGGGGGATAAACTAAGGAATTGGAAGGAGGGAAAGGAGAAAGGAAGATGTAGAATGTGCATAGTCATAGAGAATGTTAATATCATTCACTTTTCATGTTGTCTTTATTGTCCTTTATTAATTGTGGGGAAAAATAGCTTCATTCATGGTTGAGTATTGACAAGGTTGAGTATTTTAATTGGATGCTTTTAAGGTTGTGGAAGAGATTACTTTTGCTGAATTAGACTTTCAGCTTTTAAAAAAAATCGTTATGAGACTTCTAAATATCAGTCCTATTTCAAATGCAAAACTTTCTCCTTTGTATCTGAAACCATGTTATACCATTTCTGCTAGGGTAAATTATTTCTGAAATAACATTTCCTTCAAGGTTATTCCTATAGTATTTTAAAATTGAGTTGCGTTTAAAGTTCAGCATGTTCCCAGATAAGTTTTAAAATTCACTTTGACAGATTTCAGGAAAAGAAACACAGTTAAAATTTTTAGTGGTCCAATCAACAAAGCATTGGTATCTTTTCTTTAAAAACAAAACAAAAGCTACAGATGTTTTGCCAGGTTTGCTTTAGATATTTATAAACTTGTGTGTAAACATTGACTCTTTGAGTGAATTGGAATTGATGTGTAAGTATAAATACATGCTTTCATGGTGAAAACAATCTTTATTCTTCCTAGAAGAGAGTTAATAAAAATGTGTATACTTGGCAAACACTTTCTTGTCTCTTTTCTTCATCAAATATATTGTTTCTTAATCTATGCAAACTCCAGGTGATAAATTTCTTTTATGAAGCTTGCTTTTTTTTTGTTACGGTATATAACCACAGAATAAGAAACAAAATTTCTTTAGTTAGTCCAGGGTTCTTTAGCTGTCCTAGTATTTTTCTACCAATGTGAAAATTATGGTAATCAAGGAGCAGTAATAAGGAAATTTACATCATATTCTGTCTTTCTTGTGCACCACAACTGTTTTATTTTTGTCCTTCGTTGTATTATGATTACTGCAGAATCTTGTTTTACTAAATACTGAAGTTACTCATTAAATAATATTTATCTTAGCCTAAAAACATTTTTTACTTTTATGTTCTTATTTTAAAGCCTTATTTCAAGATTTGTCTTTTGTATTGTCAGTCTTTGACTGAATGATTGTGTATCACATCTCACCGTGAATATCTCTAAGGGTTTCCTAACACAGAAGGCAGCTGTGTACTTACCTGATAATAACAACATGCTGGTTTTATTTTCAAATATGTCAGGACTCACTTTGGTCGCTGACACTCTAAAGTCAGTATAAGTTTTTTAACTTAGTGGAGATAACCTAGCCCTCCTTTGTGTGAGCTTTTAATTTTCCTGGTTTGTCTTCTTAAGTACATTGTCCTGAATAGTAATTATTATTTCAGAATATGCTAAGGTTTCTTTATTTAGTTTAATTACTGTAGGGTTTCTTTTTCTTGAAACAAAATTATATGCTGAGTATACTAAATTGAGGGTTGTTTTTCTTTAAGAAATTGCTTCAGGCCTTAGTGGACTACTAGAAATGAGGCCAAACCCATCTGACTATAATTTTTTCCGAGCTGAAACAGCACTCTATTGATTTTGCTTTGTTGGGTTTTTTTTAATTCTTGTGAACTGTGTGACAGAAATAAGAGCTGTGAACCTGAAAAAAAAAAAATAAAAATTTGTGGTTGGGAGAGTATTGAGCTGTTGTTAAGAGTAAATTAGATCAAGAATTATTTAATCTTCCTGTTCCATCTATTGCTAAGTGTAAATCGGATAATGCACATCACCATTCCTTAAGTTTGAGATGGATACGCTGCAACGTTCTAACTTTGGGAAATGTATTCAGACTTTTCTCGAAATGGGAGCTATTTATCTTAATCTATACAAGTAGTAAAACAAAAATAAAAAATGTATTATTAGATTTTATTACAGAGTAGATGATGTTTCTCGAGCATCATTCAAAAATTAAAAGGTTGCTAGTGATACCCAGTTTACAAAACAAAAATTCTTCACTAATAGGTCAAAAAAATGGAAGGCAGGAATTATTATCAAATGTAATTATAGAGTATGCACTTTTGCAGAGACAGATGAGATTTCATTTGAAATGAGGTAATCTAAAGAAACAGAAGTACCCAACTATTAATATTGTTTATAAAATAGTTTGTACCCAACACTAAATAGAAAATGTTAAATAAATACAGGCAATCATGAATTTATTCTGAATATGCAGGTGATCTGAAATAATTTAATATGTTCTCTTTTTGGATAGTTACATTTGGTTTTCCCTTCCTTATTGCCATGCTGCTTTCTGTGTTTGACTTTTGTGTTGCTAACTATAACTAATTACACAGTGTTGTAATGATGGCTAGTTTTGCATTTTTTGCTTTTTAACAGTTGCTTTACTATGTGTAAGCATGAGTGGAAGGCAATGCAGTTTATTCTGCATGACATTTTTGCATGAACTATAGTTTAACCAAGTTTATGAAAAATGCAATATTAGGAATTTAATAATTTTGCTATTGCTATTTTAGTGTTTTGCATGTGTATTGTATATGTGTATTTTTTCAGCCTATTCCAAACCTAAACGAGGCCATCGTAAAACTGCTTCATTTGGCAACATACTGGATGTCCCTGAGATCATCATACCAGGTATCGCAGACCAGGTGAACGGGTCAGTTGGTTAAGATGCTGGAATAATGATCAGACTGCTAAAATACTTCTTGCTCCAGTTGCTCTAGGACAGAACTAGGAATTATCCCAGCAATTTTTTTCAATTGTGTCTCTATGAAGAGGAGCATGATATTTCACTATAAACCTACTTTTATCAGTAAAGGATTCAGTCTTCTAGTTCAGATTTACTTCTATTAATGCATGATTTTTTCCTTTCTGATCTTGTTCAGAGTCATCTTACAGAGCAAAACTGTACATGCAGTCTTTTATTACAATACCACAGTTGGTGAAAATGGACTTAGGTTGAAAATACCCTCTCTGGGTAATTATCTTGCTCTGATCTTTGTTGTGTTTAAGCACCCATTTTTAATCAAATATTAATAGAACAAAAAATTAAATACATTACATATAGAACTTCAAATTCACATGATACTTGTGATTAAATAACTCGTAATCCACTTAATTCTTATATTTGGCTACAATTTTCTAGAGCTAAAATGTGCCTACATGAGGTATTTCTGTTGTGTTTAAGTTAATGCAAACTAGAATTATTAGGAGAGGCTTCTGTCAGAAAGAAAATCAGTGTAATGAGGCACCATGACTGATAATTTAAGTTGGGGCATATATGAATAATTCTTACATATCCCAAGTCTATAATTAGCTAGCAGCATATCATTTTCATTTTGCATTCTTTTTTATTATTATTTTTTATTTTTACAATTAAAGTGGATTTATTTCCTTCAAAGCCTTGAAAATAAATATAATCAGTCTGAACTGGTATAGCAGCAGTATGCAAGTTGCTTCAGAATTACTTGTCAGAGGCAGCAGATGCAAGTAATACTATCTACCACTAGTCTAGCGATACATTAAAAGCTCTAGAAACCCAATTCTAAATTTGTGTAATCTGAGGAAGTTTCCTTGTAAATCTTGACATTCTTTGGTATTTTAAAGTAGAATGCAAAATATGATTTTTTACAAAAGCTTATTTTGTAAAACAAATTTATTTTGTAAGTAAGTTTATTGAAGTTTACATATAAAGACACAGAATGTAATAAAAAAAAAAAGAAACAAAACAGATTCCAAAGAACAATAGTACTACCCATGAAAAGAAAACTTACTTGGCATTAAGGCTAACAAATCAGTTAGAAAGTTTACTAGTGTACTAATTTACAGTGTAGGTTTCCACTGTAATTTTCAAACTGTCCTGGCCTGCCATGACATAAAGAAGATCTTAAGAGCAAGGAAAGTGAAGAGGTGCATGAAGTTTTGCAGTGTCAACATTTGAGAGCCTTGTAAATAAACTCTAGAAGCTGAGTGCCTCTGGTCTATGCACAGTCTGCTGCATGTAGCAGCACTGAGGCTTCCAATAAGCCTTGAAACTTTCAGAAAGTAATTAGGAAGTGAAATGGAATGCCATGTTGTTTTCACAAAATAAGCTGTACTGGTTTTACTTACTTAGGCAGAGAAAGTCAATTAGCTGTTCTTTACCTGAATTATTTTAATTGAATTTGACAAGATGGGAGTTCCAAGGTGAATTTGGAAAAAGATGCAAGAGAAATAGAAACCTGTAGAAATGAAAAAAGGCATAGGATTGGAGCAAGTGTAACAATGAATTTCCTCAAAATTTGCTCTTATTTAATTCTTACATAAGCAATAATGAAACTTAATGTTAATGATTTATCACAAGCAACTATTCATAAAGAGGAGGACTTCTGGTATCACATAGAGTGAATTTTGTTGTGACTGGGAATTAAAAACAGAAATAGGGTAAAATCCAGGGTCATGCAATGTGGATCATACACTAGCAACACTTTCTGTTAATAAGGTAACATGGGACTTTAGCAGATGCATGCAGGTTAATCCCAGGTAGTATAAGTCACTAATGTAATGCAGCTGTGAAAAACTGAAATCTTAGACTTCATTTCCAGGAAAGATAAGGAAGTCTTAATGCTATTTACAGGCCCTTGTTGAGGTTTCATCATAGATTCAACATACTGTTCTGAACAGCCATATGAAAGAAACGTGTGCCCTGAAATATTAGCAAGAAGAGCTACTAGGATGGTATGGACAGTAAAATGAAGAATGTGAAGGCACAGCTTTTTTAGCCTGCAGAATGAAACCTGGGAAATGAACAATTATTTTCTATAGATGAATTTGCAGCCATAGACTAGCAAGAGAGAACTACATAAGCCAAGAGACAGTACTGGCACTACAGAAAAGAAAAAAAAAAAAAGTAAATTGTCTGCAGATAAGTGTGGGCTGTATATTTAAAGTTTTCTGGTTGTCAGAACAGCTTTTCCATAAGAATCCCAAGGTTTAAGAGGGTTTAAAGAGGTTAATAGTTATGTGGCAGGGATGTGATCATCAGCCCATTAAATTATATTTTTCTGTATACTTAAAGCAGTTATTCATGAGTACATTGCTCAGTGTTGCCAATTTCTTACCTTTCCTTTCCGTACTCTCTCATCACAAGGCTTTCAGCCTTGGACTTTTTTAACATGCTTTTCCCCTTTTAGTTATACTTCCAAGACCCCCAGAGAAGCACCTCCATCTCAATCCCACCCCATTATGTTCCTTAGCACTATTGCCACATACCCAGCTCCCCTGATCTTCCCTGGGTTATGCCTATTAGTGAAGCAAGCAACTTATCTTCCTCCTTGGAGCAGCACAAATGCCGACCTAATCTCTGCTGCTGCCTGAAGTTCTGCTGAGCACATGGTAAAGCAGCTGTTTCCCAGAGAGGGGAGGCGCCACACAGGCATGTTACCATGAGTCAGCTGCTTTGGGGCAGGGCTATTTTAGAAGTATGAGTACTACGTCTGCTATCATTGGGGTTTTCGTAATGTGTTGCCTCAGCTGCTTTTCATCCATGAACTGATAGGCTACCAAGGTCATAAAATGCAAATTTGATCAGCTGAAGGTAAAATGTTGGCAGAACTAGATTTCTTTAAATATCTATTTGATCTTTTTTTCTGTTCACCCTTATTTAAACCTGTTTAGAACTTCCGTTCATTCAAGGTGCTATGTTATGTTAATAGCTTGCAAAACTTAGAAACTGAAAAAGGGATCAACTAATTCTGTTTTGGTGTAACAACATGGCAAATGAGTTTTTAGTCGTCGTATTCAGCACCCAGATGGCAAAGCGAAGTATCATCTTTTAGTGGGCTGGTTTTCAATTTATAGTATATAAAATATATAGTATAGATAATAAGCACCAACATTTATATATATATATATGAAAAATAAAAACCCTAGTAAGTACAGAAGTCTTAAGTAGGTATATGTTTAAAGAAACAGAAAAAATCTTAAGTATAATTTGTAATATGATCAAGAAAAATAATCAGAGCACCTTTTTGATACATACCAATTAAGCAGCATCTTGCAGATACCCCTTCAAGTACAGCCTTTTCTTCACTGGCAACATCAGACATCTCATGCATATAACATGCATTTGCCATTGTAATTTTGTCATCTGAAGCTGTGCTATGGCATTAAAATTTTTATAGCATTGACACTGCATAAATGATGACTCAGAATAGACAGATTTTGTGGAGTGTCTTTAGAAAGTGGATAGGAATTACAGATACCTTAGGTCTGTAAATTTTCTGTCTACTTTTAAAATCAATAAAAGCCAGAAATCCCACCTTTGTCTCCCCAGATCACTTCCTTCTTCTGGAATTCAGACCCATGTTTTAACTTTAAAATGTCTTCTGGCACTCTTATGACTGTGAGAGAAGTTTGGGTCTTGTAGGTGCATAAGGAAGAGAGAGTACTGTGCACAAACAGGAAAGTGTAAAGGGAGACGCAAACATCTGCTAAAGGGCAGGGAGAAGAGTTCTTGGCTGGTCTGAATATTTGGCAGGGGGAGAGATCAGAAGCCTTAAGAAGTCATAGAATTTGGTTTCTCTGGAGTACATAGGGCAAGGCAAGGTAGAAGTTTCATGTTCCTTTTGAATTTCATGGTAGAAAATAAGCAACAGTATGTGAAATGTATTTGGTTGTTGGGTTTTGGATTTTTTTGAGGCCAGGAAGTATGTTTATGATGTTTGATCATCTTTTTTTTGTTATTTTAAACTCCTGTAAGCCACTGAAATCCTGACACAGTGCATCAAGCTATCGTATCGTAACTTCTGTGCAGTTGCAAATCTTTTAGTTTATATAATGAGGAAAAAAAAATTTAAGGAGACATAGAGGTAAAAACAAAATCAAAACTGTGAAAGAGAGCATAGATAAATAGCAGTGATCATTTCTAGGATTCTGTGATTTCAAATAAAAATGATGTATTGTATAATGTTGCAATTGAAGTTTGCCTTGAATCTGGAGCAATAAGTATTTGCTGATTCGTAGTCTGTTTCTGCTTTGTCTAAGCTATTTGCCAGATGTCTGCAGTAGTTATACTAATTAAAATGGCATTGCCTAGTAGAGCTTGCTCTTCTCTCATGCTACTAATGTGAAGATATTTCATTTAAAGGTATTCATTTATTACAACACAGTAATTTTGGCCCCTCCTTCCCTCCCCTTCCCTCCCCCGCCCCCAAAGAGTTTCCTTTTCTTTCTTGCACCCCACCCTGATTATTTTAACTTTTTGGCAGCCATGTCTAATATTTCAGCAACACATGTCCTGGGTTCTTTAAATTCACAAATGTTGCTAATCTGAAATGAGAATTTCAGATATTTTTGCAAGCCTATTTCAGCTGAGCTAATTTTATAACAGTGTTGTTGAATGAAATGTGCGCATAATTTTGTGTCATGGGTGGATCAATCATATCTTGAATATTGAGATGAGCTGTGGCAGCCAGATGAAGTATCCACCGCAGAGAATTCTATTAAATGCATAGTCTTATTTCCCAAATCCTAAGATAATGAAAAAGTTCACCGCAAATGAAAAGCTGAGAAATTTTTATCTAGATTTGTCATTCAAACAATCTCTAATATCAAAGTATTATATGTAATGTAGGCATTGTTGCTTAGGTAAGTATATACTTAGCCTAAATTTCAGAAGCAAAAGATCAAGACCACAGAGAAGTTGCAATTCAGATTTATTTCTAGTCAGGGCAAAGAAATATATTCCTGTTCTAGAATGCTTTTTGACTGTCTCATATGCTTGTTTCTGATAGCACTCTTTAAATTTTAGACTACAAAATGTTGCTACAAATTGTTAAAGTGACACTGAGAATTTTGTATTGCTGGTTTGTAGTAATGTGTTCCTGCATGTAACAGTATCTATATTTCAAAATTTAAAGTATGATGACATTAAAGGTATTGATTGCTATTAAATAGTTATACATTTTAGTAGTAACTGTTGCAAATCAAAACACCTGTCATGATAGGCTGTGGAGTCATATGGAAGTGATTCTGGATAGGAAATACCTAAAAGGTTAAAAATGCGATGCCTGTTAGAGCTGGGTTGTTTGCTGCGTGCAGGGTTGCTGGGTGAGGGGCTGCCACGGCTGCAGTACATGTTTCGGATGCTCCCCTGCAGCAGAAAAATTATGTAATGCAGAGCTAAGAGCAAGAATTTTGAGCATTGTCAGCTGTTACTCAGGACGTTTTGGTGTTTCCTTTTGGACAGCTGACCTGCTCTCAAGAGGCACTATAAACAATCGCCGTAATACAAATCAAAGTAGCAAGGGGGATTCTGTTGCATAATCTCCTTTTATTTTTAAGACTGTTTCCTGGAAATGCCTTTGATTGCGTGTCAGTGTGAAAATTTAAACTGTTTTATGTAGCTGTCACTGGTGGATAATTGCTAACAGGTGGAAGGGGAAAAGGAAAAGGTTACAGCATTGTGCCCAGTAGGTTGATGGTGAGGTGTGATTCAGCCGAGCAGTCCCCTTTTCACACCTCTTGAAGCATGAATATAGGACATGGAAGGGAGCTAAGATCAGAAGGAACCATTTTCGCTGCTTAAGTTTTGTGAGGGGAGTGGCACAGGGCAGAAGTCATTGCTGTGTTCCTTAAGCATGCCAAAGAGCAACAGGTTAAAGCTGGCAGCCTGTTATCTTCGCGGTCTAGGTTTTAGAAATCCCCATAACGTAACGCACTTGAAATAGATGTCGTCATCAGCTCCTGCCCTGAGTACTAAGCCTGACCAAATACATGTGACAGAAGATGGTGGAGTAGAGTGCAGCAGCTATTCATGTGGTAGGAGTGGTTATTGTATTAGGGTATACTTTTTGTTGACAGGCCAGCATGTTTTGAGTTAAAATTCTGCAGCTGTCTCTCTCTCCCCCTCTCTCACTTTCTCTCTGTGGATTTGTACAAATTCCAAGCTCCTCTGAACAGTCGCACCCTTCTTATTTTGTTCTGAATAGATTTCACTGGTTTGTTTTTGTTTTGTTTTTTTTCCCCAGCAGGAAACGGACAGCAGAGGCGTAGATCCATTCAAGATCTTAGTGTTGCTGGAACAGAGTCCAGTCAGGTAACGTCTTTCTTGTCTCTTATCTTTCAGTAAAGTCAACACTGACTCTGTACAGGGAGATTGGTCTGGAAATCTTCACCTTTGATGCTTTCACAGAAATGATGTGGAAGCTTGGCAGAATGTAATGTCATTTGTATTGTATTTAAATGAGATTCCATGGGGATAATCTAATGAATGAGCTTTAGATGAGAGGTGTTTTCTGTATAGCTCTTACTTTTTTATGTATATATAGTTTTTTGTCTACCACTTAATTTGGTGAAGGGCAGGTGTTATGCAGGAAAGCCTCTTCACCTCTCTCCATGTAGAAAACAATTGTAATTGCTACTTACAGTTTTCTGAAGCAGTTATACATACATGAGACTCATTTTTTTTTCATAAAAATAAGACGCATGTACATGATTATTATAAATGTTTTTATTATCAGTCTCTGAACCCTGAATTGTAACTTACAGTTTACCTCTCCATTCCTTGTGAAAGGTTTACAGGATGCTGTCACAAAGTTTCGTTTAAAAAAAGACTGTCTCAATAGGATATCTTATAACAACATAACTTCTTATCTGGTATTGTATCTGCCATGGTAACAGGCACAGTGGTACAGTTCATAAAATTGAAATTAAACTAAGAACAACTGAACGAAGAAAACTTTAAATGAGAAAAGTACAGCCAATGCTTTATTCAGATGTGTTTATTTTGTGTTTTTTTAATTGCTTTGTTGTCTGTTTCAGTAATTCACAGCGGCTATTTGGTCGTTAGTATGAATTTGCAATTTTGAGATGCCTACTGTTACTCACATGTAGAAAACCAGAGCTTAGAATATTCATCAGGTTAATCAGGTTTCCATGTTAACCAACCTTCTTCAGTAATCTAAAATACCTGATAATTTGGGGGTAAAATACATGTAGTTATCAGGAGATCAACATTTGATCCTCCTTTATTTCTGTGGAGTGTGGTGCCACAGAAACCTCATCAACTCCCCAGGTATGATTAGAATTTACAATGTGCAGCTATCAGAAAATAAAGAATTTGTCCTAAACACATTTTAATATCTTCAGAGGATACAGGTTTGTTAGAAGGAAATGCAGCTACAAAATCTGGTTGAATAGGTTAGCCTATTCAGTTAATTGTAGCAATAAAATTATGCAAGGCATAAGGAAAAAAAATATGTGACACTACATCAGTTATATCAAGTAGCACTGATTGATGTATGAATACATTTAATTATAGCTTTATTATTCTAAACTTTTCATTCTATTAATTTTAATGAATAGTTAATATTTTAAAATATATAATATCAGCATTTACTTTAGATTTTAATAACTGTTATAATACTCTTTATTTGAAAGCTATTCTACTGCTTATCTGGATGTTCTAGATAAATTGTTCTTGTGACTAGGAGGATGCAGAAAAGGTTTTTTGTTTACCTCACTGATTTCTGATGAGGGTCTATAGAAGTACTAGCATCACATTATGTTTTCTTGCTTCTGATGTGTACATATTGGAGATCTAAGCATAGGAATTACAATATTCTTTTATCTCGCAGTTTTTGAAATATTCTGATAAAATCTAGAAAACATAATATTTCAACAGGCATGAAAAATGCTCTTGGGAAGAAATTTTTGCACTGTCGCTATAAACAAATAATGTATTTTCATCCCCTTTTTAGTGTGAGAAGAAATAGAAAAGTCTGCTGAAACTAGTGCTCACTTTTGATGTACATAGGTTTGTATATTTAAAAAAAAATGGAAAAAACCTGAAAAAAGCAACCACGATGTAATTGTGGCAAAAGACTTAAGATGACGCTTTATGGGTTTCTGTAGCTCTGAACTGCATAGCCTTGAATTTATTAAAAGTCGTGAAATGCCATCCATATAAGCAATCTACTAACCAGAGCAGAAAAAACTGTGGCTAGTGTAGCTCTGGTGAGTTTATCCTGTCTCCCCATACACACCAGACCATATATAGGTTATCCTGTCTAATGTGAATATCCTCTTCCCCTTCCCTCTGTTCATTGCAGACAACTTTCTTCCCCGCACTGCGTGCCTCCCCTCCTACACACAAGCCTTGTAAGCCCCTATCATGCTCAACATTAAAGGACTGCAGTGATGCCACTTTTTTTTTTAACTATGGGATTGACACACGAAAGCTCATCAGAAATCTTTTTATTAAATGTTATTTTACTGAAGATTGCTGCTGTGCTGATAGAGAATGATTCTGTTGTAACTAATATTTTAATATTTTTTTTTAATCAGGAAGATTTTTCCAGTTTGGAATGGATTTATTTTTTTTTTAAGATGGAGAAAAACACCTCATCATAATAGTACCAATAATATACTGCTAATAATAAATATACCATAGTTTGGATTGCTTACCTGAAAGAGTACACCAGGACTCTCTTCTCCCTACTTAACTGCTGGTCTGTTTTAATCTGACCTTCTTGTATGTTTTCTGATAGTGTGTGTATTTTATTTCTGTGTACTATTAGAAGAAATACTTTTGTGGCTGGTTATTACTTTTTTTTATGCTGTTGAGACACTTAAGGCATTTTCCACCATTGCTCTTACTTATGTTATCAAGTGCAGACAGTAATAGTGCTTTGCAGATGATCTTACTACTCCACTGACCATTTTACATCAACAGTTTGGTTAGGAAAATAGGTGAAGCCAAAGGTTTTCTGTCATTGGATCAGCATTTGGTGTGGTGTGGTGTTGAGAGTGTGTTTAAGTCTGATTTTTCACAGACTTCTTTAGTGCTTGGTGGCCTTAGACTGTACGTTACTCCAGGTGACACTGAGCAGCACTGATGCAACTGTCTCTGTCCAGTCAAACGCTGCATTTCCATTTGTTTCCATCCGTGTGTTTCTCTATTCATTTTTTTCCACAATTTTTTTTTTGCACTGAATTATTTCTTCCACTTTTGTATTTCCCTCTACCTGCATTTTAAAACATCGCGTTGTGCCATCTGTCGAGCACTACTGCACCTGCCTAAACACCTTTGTAACACAGAAGCAGATCTGCAGACTCAGAACTGCAGCCATAAAAACTTTTTGGGGCTTGAAGGAACACAGGAAACCTGCTATTTACCCTGAATAGTCTTTACAGGATTTAGTATTTTATACAGGTACTGAGATTATTTGGCATAATCACTCAAGGACTGCAGGTTATGATCAGCTGTCTAGTAAGGTATCCATGTCCTTGCCTGTGAATCTTTTATTGGGTTAGTTGGTTTGGTACATCCTCCTTCACAGCACTACAGTTAATACCAGACTATCTCCTCTTTCATGCTTTTTTTTAGTAGCTGTTGCTGGGCCTTCGTAACTCTTACAGTTTACTTTGAAGTAGAATAAAAATATATAAAGAAAAAAACCACATACTTTATTGAACAGTTGAGAAGCAAGCTTAGAAGGTACATGCCCACATGCATGCAGCCTAAGCGTGATATTTTTGGGGATCTGATATTATACAGATGAATCATTCTGTCTGCATCATTTTCAGTACTGGTCACAGATATACTTTATTTCATCCCCTTTCACAATGAGATAAAATCCTGGCTGAGGAGTGCTAGTAGCAAGGATTTCTTTAAATTGGGTTGCCCATTTAAATTAAACTGGAGCAGGATTATTCCTCGGAGTGTGACAGCTTTTCAGGACTGGAAGTCTGAGAAATGGAAGTTAACAATGTCATGTGGGTTTGGCAGCCTGGCAAAAATTACTTGAGAATACCTGAAAACAAGTCTGTTTGAGTGTATTGAGACACCTAGAGGAAGCAAGGGTGAAAGGATACCTGTAAAAGTGTAGCAGAAGCTAGTGGCTGAAGAACAGGCTCTGGTTTACATGTCAGAGGGGCTGGTGCCTAGGAGGCCTAAAGCAGCTCACTTAACACATACTTCAGCACTGTAATCTAACAGGTGTTCACTTTGGGGAACTTCCCTTGAATTTTGCAATGCTTTTTATATATGCTTCAGATACCAGTTTTTTGTATCTGTCTCCAGTAATTTTGTCTAAATAATGTTATCAAGGAATCAAAACAATCTGGTACAGCAAGGAATCTGGTATAGCATTGAGAAGTTACCATAACTAAAGTACTTTTCAGGTGCCCTTTGCTGTCAGCTGTAGATACCCAACAAATCTTTGCTTAAAGGACTTACACACTGTTAAATGCTCTGTCTTCTGACCTTTAACATCAGCAGAGTGTGTTTATCTTTCATATCTCAGGACAGTGACAGTAAGCAACTTAAACCTTGCTTGATACTAACAAAGACTGCAAGACAAAAGCTTTTTGAAAATGCCATCATCCTGGTAATATCGTCCATTTGATTATTTCTACAATAACTTATAGCTGTTTTTCTGGCCACTGACATAAAACACTGAATGGTTAATAAGAATTACAGGACAAGCATAATGCAGTTGAAATAATGGATATTTCAGTGTGTAAAATCTTGTTACTCTGGATTGTTAGTTGCCTGAAATCCTGACTTTCAGAAGTCAAATTAAGATAGGATATTTGATAATTAGAGTCATGAAGAAATACAGTTTCTAGGTAATGTATATTTGAGTGGTTCTTTTGAAAAATAGACTCTTTAATAATTTGATGATAAATACACCACATTGAAAATAGGTATATTTTAATAGCATCTTTTTACTTCATTTTTTCCTGTAAAACTCACTGGGGTTTGTAGTCTGAAGCCCTTTACTTGTGTTAACTTTTATGTTAGTGAAGGGGGTATGTGGAATACAAGAAACTAACTAATAATTCTGGAAAAGCAGCTCAGTAGAATAATGAAGTCTTCATGATAGGGTTTTGCACTTTTGGTAAATGAAAGGATTGGAGGAGTCAAGCTGTGTATGTAAAGGAACTTCTTACATAATTTTTAGTTCTTGATCTGCTTTGTGAGAGATGATGTACTTATTTGCTAATTGCTTTGATTTCTTGATCGTTATTGATTAAATACAGTTTTTCATGTTTTCTGGAGATGAATCACATAACCCCTGGGTTAACTTAAGAACCGTAAGAAAACTGTAGATTCATATACTGCAGTCTAGTATAGCTGTTAAGCTGCATTCGTTTAGTTGAATTTAATTCCATTCATTGATTAAACACTGGAAACAAACTTTATTTCTTTGTAATGTTACAAAGCTGCTAGATTTCACTGAATGGAAGTGTAAAATTGACTAGACATCATGTCACAAATTTATATAAAGATCTCAAACATGTTGTTCAGCACTGCTTTGTATTATGCTGAATAGCAAAATTATATCCATTTATTTTATATGGTAAAGATGAAGCAGAAAGGGAGATGGAATTGTCCATGCAATGCATGTGAAGTTTATCAAACTACCTGGAGAGCTTTCAGGGTAAAAGCTTGTGGAAGGGAGTATCTGGTAGGACTGTAGGTTCCGGTTTCTCCACATTTATTTTTCTGTTATTAATGTTTTGTTGTTTTGGTTGCGGTTTTATGTTGTTGTTGTTGGTTTGGGGTTTGTGTGTTGTTTGCTTGGGTTTTTTTGTTTGATTGTTTTTTTTAAGCCTTAAAAAAAAATCTGTTAACTTTTGTCATCTTATTTTACCTCTTCAGGAGAGTAGAAACAGCAGTAGATCATCTAGTCCTAGTGTGAGAATGATCACTACCTCGGGACCAACCTCTGAAAAGCCAACTCGTAATCCATGGACACCTGATGATGCAGGTACTCCTTTGTTCATTAGTTAATTTTTTGCATTTAAAAAATAGGAAATATTTATTAGATTATGGCATGGGATGTGTGCCTAGACATTTAACAAAATTAAGCAGTGAAAGTTGCAGTCCATTTTAGTTCTGCTTTAATTAAAACATTACTGCTTTGTTTTGCACACTGGCTTGAAGGACTTTTTTATACAGATTATATTAAGTTACATAAAATTGCAAGCATTTTGCATTTAAAGTACTGTACATACTGAGATAGTAGTATTTAATGCAGGTCCTTTAGCATGAGTTTTTTGACTGTAGTGTGATTTTAGGGAATTCAGGAAAAAGATTTTAGAGTATTTAGTCTTGTGCAATTGTAGCATGAATGCACAGTTAAAGCTTTCATTTTCTGACTTCCGGAGTGAAATCCTATGTAGGTGAGTATCAGCTTGGTTAATTCTGTTTTTGATCTGTGTTGTAATTTTGCCTATGCAGAATGTACACATGCAAGCAATCTTACTGGGTTTTAAATGAACTAACATGTGTGCAGAAATATTGTAAATATTTCCATAGCATCGCTGTTCTTTTGTTATGAAATTGCATTAATAATCCATGTAATTTACGTAGTACAATTTAATTTCAAAAGTCATCATGCACTCCATTATGAAAAGAACCAGTTCTGTACTGCATGGAAACAGTGGATCCCCACAAATTCTTATTTTTAGCAACACAAGTAAGAATTACATTTTTGTCACTAGAATATACATGTTGAATCTTAAGCTGGTACCTCATAGTGCCTCAAATTTCGAAGTCTCTTTCATGTGATCTGCGTTATCTTTGGCTGATCACTCCTCCATTCTTTTCCTGTAACCAGCTGTGAAATGGAAACTTTCATGTGGACTGACTTTTGCACAAGCATATATATACACACTTGTATTTTACCAAATACAAGGTGATTACATAAGATGTGTACTTTCCCCTTACCGTGTTTTAGTGAGGGAGCAACATACTCTTGTATTTTGCTTCTGTGCTTTTTTTCTTCTGTCCATTGTCACTTTACCTGATTACACTCTATGCCTCATCACTCATAATTTCCCAAAACTCTTGTCCACTGCTACAGCCCACCCTATTCCCTCTTTTGTGTAGCATGGGTCCTGTGTTGCTTAAGCAGTTAGCACTTAACAGCAGTTGCTGCCTTATGTGGCAGCAAGCTCTTACCCAGTCAATAGTTCTTTGGGAACTGAAAGTTGCGGATTGCATGCCAGTGTAAAGACAGTTTGCCCCAAGTCTTTGGCCTTATGTGCAGCACTGCACTAGAGCTAAAAGTCAGGTCCGTTTTCTGACCCACAGAAATTACACACCTTATACTCAGGTAAATACAGAATGTACCACATGTATATTTTTTTTCTTGTTAGGTTTATGCCATCCATGAACAAAGAATCGTTTAAATTTCTAAAGAGAGAAGTCATTTTAGTTTTCTGTAGAAGAGGGTACATTTTGAAGTTAATGAGGCAAAATGATAAAATCGGGATGAGGCCAAATCTGGTCAATCGCAGGTGGGATTACAGTTCTGTGACGAAGTGGTGAAAGGCTCAGGAATGTCATATTGAAGTATTTTGCATGTATCGATATATTTGAAGCATTACACTAATTCCTCTGCTGTAACAGTATTCCATATAGGGTAATAGTTTCATGTAGAGAAGGACTTTTTATACTGTTCTCACTTAAGATACTGCAGTGATGAAGTCTCTGGTTTTAGGGATTTTTTCTTTTTTTTTCTTTTTTTTTTTTTTTATCGCCTTCCAGTTTCCTTACAAGCGTACGCTTAACCACTTTTTCTTCATTTCTACCCTCTTATTTCTGTTTCCTTTTGAAGCTGCTCTTGGAGATAGCATAGTCTTTGAGGGCAACACCTTAGTTTCTCTACCACGACTACTCTGTGGCAGGTGCTATTGGGGTATGGGTAAGCAGCCCCTTTTTTTTCCCCACCTACCCTCCTCTGTGTAATCCTCTAGTAGCGATAATGCAGCTGTAAAATCAGTAGTTTCTCCATGTGTCTTTACTCCTATATCTCTTAAAGCCTAACAGTAACCCTGAGATCCCCAGATTGTGGGCTACCAAAAGATAGGATCTGTAATAATTCAGAACCATGTTAAATCTGGAATGAAAGAACTGGAGAAATACAGAGTAATTGCAATGTAAGAAGAGAGCAGCCAGGCCCAGGAGATAGATTGGTTACTGGGTTCCTTGCTACCCACAAGTATCTCTACAGAGCAGAGAAGATGCCCCAGAGCATGGTGTGAGGAAGATCCTAACAGACTTCATTGGGAGCAGGTTTCAAAACTGAGCAGGAGGTTGTGCTTATTTTGTTTTGACAGAATTGATTTGCACAGCTTCTAATTTTAAAATCATTAGATGCATGGGCTGGCTGGCTGATCTTTCATAAACAAGAATGAAATGACAATTCTTTTATAAATAGAGAGCATGATTGCAAACTGTATAAAAATAGTATTTAAGAAATCTGTGTGCTGTTACGTGGCTTTTAGAAGTGTAGGCTGATAACATTAATCTTTATTCCTTCTCGGTGTGACAGACCGTACTTTGAAGTTCTTAACTTTATCAGAAAAAATGATTCATCTGCCTTGGGATTGGAGCTCTGCTGTTACCATTTGCCTTTTCACATTCAGACTGTGTATTGTGAAAATACTTAGAATTCTTGTTGGTCTTTTTTTCCTGTAAGAAAAGAATTAGCTCTCAAAATACATTAAAATTTTCTTGGTATTGTTACAGAGACCAATGGGTCAGATAACTCCATCCCAATGGCATATCTTACATTAGATCATCAATTACAGGTAATAAATACATGCTTTATTAGATTCTTTTAGTTTATTCTAATATGTGAATTTTGGGCTGCAAAATACAGTGCTATGTGTTTACCTGTGTTTATCTTCTGTCTAACTTTCAACCAAGGCTAAAAAAATATGTAATCTGAGATTGGTTGACTCAGATTTGATCAAGCTATTAAAAACAGGCCCTGGGAAACACGATCCCTAAAACCAAATATAAGCTGAGTTTGACTGTCAAAATAAGACATTATTTGCTGAGTGTTACTGGATTAAATTGTTGGATATACTTTATTTATTGTGTGTGAGGTTAAATACTACTTTGACTTTTGTGATGGAGAGACTATTGGGTCAATAACTATAGATTTGGGGTTTAAGTCAACTTTGACATCATTGCAGTAACATTTTGCAGGGCATGGTTTAACACTTATTTTTAAAAGCTTACTTATTTTGAAAAGCCTTTATAAATACACTGCAGAGACATTCTAACACACTGTATACTAGGATGTCGGTTCATTAGTTTTTAACATGTCTGATTTATTTTCAGCCTCTAGCACCATGCCCGAACTCCAAAGAATCTATGGCTGTGTTTGAACAGCACTGCAAAATGGCACAAGAATATATGAAAGTTCAGACAGAAATTGCATTGCTGTTGCAGAGGAAGTAAGTTAAATGTGTTTAACCTTTTCTGTTCTTCTGTATGTTTCTTTTACACCAAGTCTTTTATCTGTAACTTATTTCTGGCTTTATGAAGTAACGTTTCATAGAAATACTGAGCTGTTCATTACAGATAAGATGTTTAGAGAAGGTGATTGGAAGTTTTAATTAATACCAGGACTCTTCTAGAAAAATCCTACTTCAGTCTGTGGCACATCTGTGTATTTAACATGCTAGTAATATTTGTATCATCTCAAATTAAGAATCTGGACTGTCAAGGAATTTTGGAATTGTATTTCCAATACTGTCCAGTAGAAGAATTTCAGTTTTAGTTTGCAGATAACCACTTGATTAATGGGTTATAGAATTTTGAGTGATATGTCAAAGTTACTCATTTTACTCAGTTCTATCTGACTTCAAGCATTGCATTTACAATTATATTATAAACACACATCTTAAGTTTTTTCTACTGGGGGTGTAGGACCTACTACTTAAAAGCCATCATGTACCTTCTCAGCTTTGTGCACCAGAAATAAACTCTTTTCTCTTAGATTTTGTTTGCCTATAAGTGAAGCAACTGCATGTAATGTTGGATTAAGGCCAAAGTTATAGCTGTTCTAGAACTTCAGTTGTGCTTCTTATAATTTCTGTTTCCTGATGCTTGGGAGCAGCTCTGAGAGGTCATATATACTTCCATGCTAGACCAAGGAATCAGCTTGTTACCCACCAGTGTCTGAGCCAGTGCAGGCAAGCAGTTGTTAATGAGGAGCTTGCATTGGTGTTTGTGGAATAGCTAATGAGAAAAACGTGTGTATAAACCTCTTCTACGTTAGAAATAGCATACAGAATAGGGGGGCAAAGTTACTGTGAGATTGACCTATCATCTATTTGCTTTTGGCTTAGCATCCTTAGTTTTCAAGTGCAACTAGAATTTTTAGACTTCATGAGGAGATGCTGAAGCTGGCTTGAAGATCTTCAATTTGGTTTTATTTCTGTTGTCTCTAAAGGTCAATAAATTACATTAAAATGTATTTCTGTTTCAAAATTGTTAACTTGTTACCTTTAGATTCCTACTTTATCTTTTTTTCTAGGAAGTTTGCATACGTGTTTCTCCCAAACTGTTTTTTCTTAGACCATGATTGCCCATAGGTGTTAAAACAAAAAAACGGTATTGTGATTGATGAATTCAATGCCGGTTAAAGTAGTTATTAGTTCAGTCTTTATAGAATGATTAAGTTTTCTTTAACTGTAATTACAAACCATATGGCAACAATTAATTAACATGAACTTTCTCCTCTACTATTTTGTTGCTAAAATATAGCTGGCAGCTTGCCTTCTTGTCACCTCATAAACAAATAGTAAAACAAACTGCTACATCAGTTTTGCAGGATAATTTATAGTAAGTTTATCAGTGTGTTTGTTCCTCTCAAATTGTTGTTAAAAAACATATTGAGCACTTATGGCATAAATTAAGTGAAATGACAGTTACAAAAATAATTTATTTCATTCTGCTTTTCCACTGCTTTAAGAAGTTCAAGTTCAAATAGAAAACAGCACTTCACTAAAAAGTTACCAAAATTACTGCAATTTTGTCTTTTTAAATTGCCTTTTGAATTTTTAAATACACATGTAGTTCAGCAAATTTAAGAGTTGAATAAATTGATGAGGTTCTGTGTGGATCCTTAGCTGTTTTACTGTGACCTGTAGAATTACATGTGAAAGACATGATATAAAGGACAATTTCAGAGACTGAGGCTATGGCAAGGAGCTATTTTAAAGTTTAAATATGGATTTGATTTGGAAGAGATTTTTTTCCCCAGACTACAGTAAAGAATAAGGTTTTAAATTTTTTTGCACAAAATATCACCATCCGTGAGTTCAGACTGATAATTAAATACTGATTTGAAACATGTGAAATCGTCTTACAAATAGAAATAGATTCTAAATGACAATTACTTTTTTATTACTTTTAGACAAGAACTAATAGCAGAACTGGACCAGGATGAAAAAGACCAGCAAAATACGTCCCGTCTGGTACAAGAACATAAAAAGCTGTTAGATGAAAACAAAAGTCTCTCAACTTACTACCAGCAATGCAAAAAACAATTAGAGGTCATCAGAAATCAGCAACAGAAACGGCCAGGCACATCATGATTTCCTGGGACCTTTCAAATGAAAAATATGCACAGAAAAGACTGATATTTTTTTAATTGTTATTATTATCCCTTATTATGACAACTCATGAGTGTTAGCTTCTTGGTGTGATCTGTATTTGTCTGCTACACTACCATCGTTTAATTTTCTTTTTCCTATGGTGGACATCCAGTTCAACAGGTTAATCGAATAAGGTGAGAGAACAGTGACTTGAATTAACCAACAGCACTCAGTTTAAAGCAAGACCAGTGGCTGTATGCATGCTCCTTGTGTGAAGGCTAGCCTAACAAGTGTTAAAGTGGCTGCTAAATTTTAAGATCTTGTTTTTAGTTTTGGTTATTACCTCGATATGAGCAAAACAAAAACTTCCCTGTCTAAGAATGTTTTTGTTCCAGTGTCTCATCTCAGACTATTAATATGACGATTATTTTCAGGACTTAAACATGCATCAAGGTGCAGAGGTGATGCTGGCCAGCTAGAGTAATTCATGATGCATTAATAATGCCTTTTACCTTTAGACGTAGTATATTTTTTCCACATGCAAAATGGTAGGCAAACTGATGCCAGCATCCTTGGTTCAGTGCTTGATAAGCCCTGCATTTTGACTAATATATTTCTTGTAATCTTGCTTTCATAAAATATTTGAAGTAAAAGTCTGTATTTTCTTTACTTTCTTGGGGGGAATGACATGCAGTTTCTTTCAGTTACTGGGCAAAAGTTAGGAAGAAGATTTACTGGGCACAGTTGTTCGCTTCTGTAAAAGAGAGGGAGAATCAAAATTGTGTGAAAGTGTGTTTAAGACCTTTAAAACTTTTATCCCTACAGCATCTTTGGAAGAAAATTCAGAAATCGAATTAATACAAAACTTTAAATACTTGCTCCCTCCCTTTATACCACCTCTTGGGTTTTGGTTATTTTGGAGTTTTTTCTTAAACCTTATTTGCTGAAAAGCACTTACCATAAATGTAAATAAGTTTTGTTTAGCTAGGGAGGAGAAGGGTTTGGGGAAATGAATTTATTTTAAATCAAATTATGGAGTTGAGTATGCAAATAGCGGAAGCTATTAAGAGAATGAGGGAAATGGCTTAGATCTCCATCAGGAATCTCAGTTATTCCACTCATTTGAACATAGTTCAGAGGAAGTACATCACAGAATGCCTGCTGTCTTCATGACTGAAGAATTGCTTTTAATGAGCTCAAGCAGAATGTGTAATGATCAGTGTCATTATTTACTGTTATTACATGGGAGAAAATAACTACTTGTTTACATTGCAGGTTGGTTATTTGGATTATGAATTAACTTTTAACTGGTGCAAAAATGAGGCATTTCTAAATATAATGAGAAATTATTCCTTACATAAGCTCTTGGTGTGCTCAGTTGTGGGCAGGGTTTTACTAACAAACAGTCTTACAAAAGGAAAACAGAAAATTGCCGTTTAGCTGCTGAGCTCTTGAAATACAAGAGAAGCAATCTGAAATTGGACTTACTACAAATGAATAATTACTCACAAAAGCCCATGAGCAGAACTTGGAAAAATATTAAGGGTAAAAACATCACAGGATTTTTCTCTTCCCCTTCCTACCTACCAGACAAAAAACATCAATACTATTTTGCTTATCTGTGGACAAGAAAGATGACGAACAGTTTACTGAACGGTGTCATCCTGTCTTGAAAATAAATCTGTCACTGGCAAACCCTTGGGAGTCAGAAACCCTTCCCTCATTTTATTTAAATAAAGGAAGGGTTATCATTCCCAAATCCTTAGCAGATAATTTGATTAGTTAGCTGAAATTGATATTGGGATCAACTTAAGGGCACACATATTTATAGCAAAATGTAATTGGCAGAGAAAATAACTGTAGTATTAGGAATAGCACAAGTTATCCAGAGCATTGCTGTTCACATACATCTGTCCTTCTACCAAAATGGACACACGCAGTGATCAGCAGCTTACTTAACACACGCTGAAGCATGAAGTAGGGCAGCATAAATACTGATGCTCAACTTCACATGCATGGTAGATAATTACATACACAAAATCATTTCCCAGGACAGTTTTTGCAGTTTGCTCTGTCGTAAAACATAGACACTGTTTTCAGGTAAATCAGTATTGTATATGAAGAATCAGTTTATGGCAAAGTTAGAGTAATGACAGCAATGCTAACTTGATGGTACATAATACAGAAGTCTTTTCTAACAGTTGCTTATGACTTGCTAGGGTTTACATTGAAAAGGGTCTCAGATTGTAAAATAAGTACTGTGCTGCCATGCGCTGTTGAACTCTGCTCCAGTCGGTAGTTGGGTTATATTGCTCTTGTTCCAATTTTCAAAGGGAATTTGGAGTTTGGCCTTTTGCCTCCAAATTGTCTCTTTCTTAATTCTATCAAAAGTTGAAAAATTATTTGCCCAAGTTTCTCAGTGATGTGTTCTGTGTGGCAAAGTCTCTGTATCATTAGCAAAAAAAATCCTCTAAGGGTAGAATATAGTGGTTTGGGCTAAGAAGAGTTTTAACAGCTTGACTTTCAGTGACCTTTAGTATTTTCATAAGGCTCTTGTTTTAAAGTTGTTTACAAATGTACTTTTTTTGTGTGTGTGTTAAACTAGCTGGAGTTTTCAGGATTTTTTTTGTGGTTTTGTTGTTTTTTTGTTTTTTTCTTTTTTTTTTTTTTTTTTTGTCCAGTTAAAGCTGCTCCTCTAATAATGGAGGTGAAACACCTAGTTTTGCCTGGGCACTGCCTTCTCAGAAAAGATGACAGGCTCTGCTTTTTGTTACAGTATGTGTTCTGTAAGATATTGTGTAATTGAAAGTATGCTTCTGTACACTGTGCAGTTCTGCCAAAATGCTCTTTTTAGGGTTTGGGGTTTTTTTTTCTGATAAGTTGAAGATTGTAATTCAAAACTTGTACATAAAATGGTGAATGATTTCATATGATTCAGGAATGAAGAGTGTGGCTTTCTGCTACAGGGTTTTACTGTGTTGTCAGGAATCTAATTAATAAAAGCTGAGAGACTTCCACAAACATGTAGTAATGCCCCAGCACTTGCTAGGGCATCCTTGATCTCCAATGGAATCCCACACTGGGTGGGGAATAATCATCATGCAGTTGTTCCCACCACTAAAAGAAAATTCTTCTGCTGTTAGCTCTTCCCTTGCTGTGTGCAGAAGTAGGGTGTAGGATGAATAGTCTTACTCATAACTGAGTATCAAGGTATTTTAAGAATGCAGCATCTTTCGTATGCATGTTCCACAAAAAGATAAGCACTTATCTTTCATTGTTCACTTCGGACAAATTCCATTCCATGGAACTTCCCTATTTTGTTTGTAATGGATTTTACTGCTTGAGAATTTTTACTGCCATACCACAGACAGAGACATCCCTCCTTAACGTTCTCATTGCCTGCGAAGAACACAAAATCAGGCTTCAAATCTGTTCTGAGCTGTTTTGAACAACTAAGCTGTTTCATGTGCCCCACTCCAAACAGGGAAGTTTGAAAAGGTAAGTGCAAAAAGAGGTGTGGCACACTCAATCCTCAAAATACAGATTGTCCAGTGGTGAACTGGTTGAAGAGGAGGATCCCTTACAAACGTAAGTCTGTGTATGTGTATACACGCATGTATGTGTGGTGTTATGTACTTATGTGCATAGGTGTAGAGAGCTGGATATATCAAATCGGAATTGATAAATGTCTCTATTTCCGAAATCTGAGCTTTAATAGTTAGCTTTAATGTCACGAGGTGAGTGGTGCTCTAAGCCTGGGAGGATTGAGTTCTATAGAGACAGATAAATGCAGGTGTGCATACATGAGAGTACATCAGCTGTTTTCTGTGCTTGCAGAACCCTTTCCTGCTTGCAGGGATGATTCATATCTCCCACTGCACTTGGACAGATTTGCTGGAAATGTTTTGACTTTGAACCTGTATCCTGGTTGTGGGTCATGGATTTGCCCTTAATGAGAGGGCAGAACTGAATTTAGACTAAATACTTTGGGTTTAATTATTAATTTGTATCTTAAAATGATTGAAGAGCACTGACAATCCTAGGGCTTTAACCTAAACAAGCATTAATGAAAAGGGTTTTTATTAACAGCTGTGTGCTTTACACTAAGTACCTAAACGTTTTAAATACTCCAAGGGATAAAAAAGGCTTGTGTTCACACAATTACACGTGCGTTGTTGATACCCCCATTCTAACTTGGACAAAGGCAGCCCAGTTACTCTTACACTTGGGAATTACTGCCTTTTACAGATAGAAGGAGGTGCAGATCATTGCAACAAGTTAAATAAAGCCTGGCCAGTCTCATGAAGCAAAAAGCACAGGGAGAGGGAAACCTGGAAGCAAGATGGAATGGAGCACTTTGGCTTCCCTCAGACCTTTTCCTGTCCTTAAGCAGTGAGTGCTCCCTGTGTAAATACAAGTCTGCTAACGCTGACATGTAGGCTGGTGGAAATGCCATAGTTTTCCTTTTTCCCAGCTGCTTTTTTCCCTCCCATTGGTGTTGAATGGGAGAGGCTGTGGAGCAGCTGCATGTAGGCTGCTCTTGTGTGCTATTTAGGCAGAGGACCAAGGAGTAACTTGCATTCATATAACCTATGGGCTGAGCGTGTGGGATGTGGCACGATTTTAGCTTATGGCAGAAAATTAGAAGAAAACATTTCCTAGTTGTAGGAGTCTTGAGGATCATATGACGAGGTAGATATGCCTATGAGCAGTATCTGGGTCTCTTTTTTAATGAGGAGTACAAGGCGGACCTGTTGGGCCACCTTTGGGCAATGCCCAGAGAGCCGTTGTGACTGTCCTGGTAGCTCGTGCAATGTGAAAAAAGGGGTGGCCAAAAAACTGCTCAAGAAAAAGAGAGCTGTTTGCAGTGAGCCTCCTGTTGCAGCATTGCTGATGTCAATACAGTAGATGTTTAAGACTGCTCAGACTCACGTTACAAAGATGAAGCTAAGAGAGGGACTGAAGTGTCCTGACAACCAAGGATGTCCATATTTGCCAAGCCACCACTGCAGAAATGTTCCTGTGAATGTCTTTGTTCTCCAAAGCCCCAAAGGAGCCTGCCTGTGCCTGTCACCACAGGACTCCTGTAACAGCTGTCTCCGAAAAGTTAAACCTGGTGCATGGAAATCAGAGTCCTATTATGTCATCATTAGCAATGTGTCTAGAGCATAGCTGGGAATTGTTATGAGGTAGGAGGTGAAGCTAATTTAGCTCATCCTCTGAGGTCTGTCAGGCATGAACTGCTTCTGTCAATGAAGTGCTTGGGTAGGATCTAAGGCAGAGACAGCTACAAGGAGTCATTTTGGTCTGTTCAGCTGTTCCTTACATCAGAGCACAGTGCAATGGCCAAATGTTAGCTGGCCTGCTGGTGAGAGCTGTGCTGCTGGCTTTTGTTAAGACGACTCCAGGCACTGCTCCAGATGTGCTTGCGTGCTGGCAACACACTGAAGCTGTAGCAAAGTGTGAGGTTTAAGGTGATCACCAAATGATCATCACGATGAAGTGGTCATTATGCTCCTCAAAAACAGTAGATACCAAGGGACAGCTGAGGAGGGATTTTTGTTATTTGTTTTGGAAAAAAGATAAAAGGGTGCTGATCATTGAGTGCACTGTATCTCAGCATCTCTGGATCAGGGAAACCATCCTTAGTATTGGCATAAGCCCTCTGAGTGCACTGCCGAAGGAACCAAGCAGTGAAACAAGTGGGGTGGTGGCAGCTTTCATGGCTGTTCTCCTGAGTGCTCTGACTTCTCAGACCTGAAAGAGTAAAAAGCCTTACCACACAGCTGGGGATCTGAATGTGGCTGGCTTGTTGTTTGCCATATTATAGCATGACCTGGCCAAGAAATGCTATAGGTTAAACTGAGTTTTCGATCTCACCTGCTCTAATTCAGTGGTTTTAGGACCATGTATCCTGCATCTCCTGGGCTGCACCTCAGCCTTGGCTGGCTTTGAGCAGGTACAAATGGGCTAGTCCTTTCCATGAGCAAGAGGAGCCAGTATACTCATGTGAGAGTTACCAGCAGCAGCAACTTCTTTTCTCCAAGTCAGTGACTTCAGGTGGAGGAGCAGGTGAATTTGCTTCTCCATAAAGCATTTTTTTTTATCTGACTGCTTCAGGAGCAAGGACCTCAGGCTAAGAACTTGATTTCTTTTTAACAGAATCCTATTGCTGTAAATCATGAAAGAAAGAAGTGAAAAGGGATGAACATTAAGAATCTAACTTGGTTTTAATTGTCTGAGAACTCAGATTCTGGGGACATGTTTTCCTTCTCTGGTGCCCGTCTCAGAGCTGGAAGGGGAGCTAGCTGATTCAACACATCACACATTCGTCTGTATTCTATTCAGCTCCTACAAATCTAGTCTCTGCCACTGAGGCTTACATACAGAGATTAGGCAGTTGCTGAAGAAAGCCATGAAGTCTGATTACAAAGAAGGTGGCTGTAGGGAAGTTTAGCCTTTACTTGATCTATTTGGGAGCACATTTTGTAACAGTGCAGTGAGTCATTTTCAGAGTATCTTTAGTAGGGAGAACATCAGACTAATGGCAGGTGTTGGTATTACAGGTTTTTAAGCAGCACTGTGTCTTTGAGTGCTTACTTCTAGTCTGCGTGTTGAAGTGGCTGCGAAAAAGCAGAGCTTTGGGTTCACGGAAAGTAAACCTACAACGTCCCTTTATGAAATCAAACAGAATGCAGAGATCTCCAGAATTTGCAAGAAAAATTAAGGAGACTGTCATGTGGAAAGTGAATTTACAGTCTATTTGGCATGTTAATCCAGATGTCTGTAACTGGCTGGGCAGGGAAGCAAATGGTGTATTACCTTCACACATGCAGGATGGAGATGGTGTTGCAAAAACCTGACTTTTTCCGGCGCTTGTCAGTTGGCCTGAGATGTTATTACTCTTCCAGCAAACCATGCCTGGCTGAGAACTCTTCTCTGCCACAACCACAAACACTATTGTGCTCTTCACTGTTTAACAAACATCAAGCTTCCAGAATGGTAGCCCTTGATCTGTAAGGGCATGTGCAGGGGCAGGAAGAGGTTATGTTCTTCCACATTTCCCAAGGAAGTCTCACTAATGTCACAACAGCAGCATCAATAGCCAAGTTTCTTGGGAATGGTTTGTAGTGATAAGCAACTTGCTGCTTTTAAGGTTTCTTTCTTTGAATTTTCTTCCTTCACCAAAAGGCAGCATTTCTCAGAATTACTTATTCTCCCCCAAAGAAAACATAAACAATTAAAAGGTGATCTGTAAATTAATACTGAAGATCTTGGTGGTGGTGATTGTTAGAAGAGCTGTCCACTGCAATATGAAATTATCTGTAGTGCTGCCAGGCTCCAAGAGCCCTTTTTGCTTGCAGGATAAATGAGCTGAATGTTTTAAAGGTGCTTAAAAGAAGTTTGAAAGTGCTGACTGATTATGCTCTGCCTCAGCGCCCCTCCTGCTGTGTAATGGACAAGCGTGTGGTGGCTCGAAAATATGCCTTAAATACAGAAGCGTTCAGGCAAGGCATTTATTCATCTGTATTCAAGCCACCACAGCAGCACTTTATGTTATGAGGATTATTGCAAGATCATCACAGGAGATTTCTCAAATCTCACAGCTCCATCGTCTGCCCTGTGCTCCAGCCTGAGAATGTCCAGAGTAGAAAAGTAGCTGCCTCCACAAGCCAGTTAAAAATTGAATGCAACATCAGTGTTATTGCAGTCAGATGCATAAAATATTGCTGTACAGTATGGCAATGAATCACGGGTTATGATGTTCACTTACTAACGTGGCATAAATACAATCCCTTAAGAATCAGATGATGAACACTAAGTGCTTTGAGCTCTCCTGAACCTTTATGATCCAGCAGTTGGTATTTACTTGGACTAATGTTCCCCGTGGTATCTGCTCAGACGTGATCGCTGTTCTGTGACTGATGATAAT